TCGGCAACTGAATCAAATCTGACGTAGTACAGCACTTAACAACGGATAAATAATTCTGCGGTGATACTGTTCATGGTTAGTCATAATCCACTCAGTAAAGTGATCTAAGGGTTCTCCCACAATCAAGCATTTTCACCCCTTGTTTAAAAAATCCATGGAATCGCGCGGAGATTTGAAACAAGAATAACAAGATCTAAGCTTGCAAATGCGTATTAGCTCAAAACAGAATGAGCCTTCTATATTCAGAGTTAAAAAAGGCCCTCTTATTTTCTATTTTTAGACGAAGCGAAGGAAACCGATTGTGATAATACGTATTAGTTTTTAATTGGTAATGGGGTTGCATACGTTTTGAAAAGGATTCACTATGCCACAGCAAACATTTATACATCTCCGAAAACACAAAGATGCACCCATTGCAAAATCACTTTTTATCTGGCTTCTAAGAACTAACCAGGTTAAAATGCCACTTCACCGAATGCAATCCGGAAAAGTGTTCGATTGAGTCGGCGTGTGAAATGTTTAGCCTCGACAAATTATCCACTAGGTTAAGTAGTATTCTGGTTAGTTTCTCATTGTGAAAACAACGTTAAATCGCGGTTACCAACTGTTTTCTTAAGAAACAAAAGTCCGCTAAGACAGTCGTCGGCAAATAGGCCAAATTTTCTGGACACCTGAGAACTCTGTCCAGAAAAGAGTAGACCTTTCTCAGGGATTGTTCACAAGCAATGATAGAACTTTATCTATTTCCAAGCATAAATATGGTATTAATCTACCAATCTTGTTTGCGTCAACTCAAAACGATCGGTTTTTTTGAGCTGGTAGAAGTGGTGTAAATCGATTTTCTCTCGTGAGGTAACCAATCATGAAGACTCGATGATATCTGTATAAAAAATTGTTCTGTTTAAGCTGTGAGAATTGAGCGAATGAGGACGGATTTCTATAATGTGACTGAATTATTACGAAGAACTGTTTTGTCTGAGAAGCTCAAACCGGTCTTGAAGAGGTGAAGATCATTGTGGACCCGAACAATTGGGGCCTCGAAATTAGAAAGTTGTCAGTACCCGTGACCTTTACTTTTCAGTCCTTCTTCACGAAATATATCATTGCATCTGGCACCATTAGAGTTTTCACAGAAAGATCCTAAAAGGCTAATCACTTTACTGAGGTAAACAACAAACTGTTACTTCTCCTAGTTATTAAAATATTAGTTGAATGCAACCGTAATAGGAATCATAAACTTGTGTGGAATAATTTCCAAGATCTATTGTTTTTAAGCAGGTTAATCTGTCGGGTAAAATGTGAAACTATGGATCAAAATAATAGAACACTATTTCATTTTATAGACCGGTACTTGTCACGTGACATAAATAAGAGCTCAAAAATCAGGCCACAATCATTACCGGACTTCGTTGGATGCAAATGAGCACTGCGCTACCCCTACACTGTCCCTGGCCTTACTGTGTGAACCCTCAGTCCGACCAAAGTTGTTCATTCGCGACCGTCCAGGTCCTTCAGGGTTAAAACGAAATATCAGCGACAAAAATGAGCGGCAACTAGAATGATTGTTGGGGGGGGGGTTCTCAAAAAACCAACCAAAAATGAGCGTTAGAATCCCCTTGCACTTATGCGTACGCACTAAAAAAACTAATTTCGTTCTGATAACAAATGAATTCTGACTCAGCCGTATGAGCCCGAACACCCGTGCACAAGTGATATCACCTTCGTTGGTACTACGACCTAAACTCGTGACTAAGCGATCAGGAACTCAACGGAGGCCCATTAGTATGAGCTACAGATAATGCCGTTCTGTAAAGCCATTGATTGGCCATGTTTATATTAACCAAATGATGGCTGGGAGCCCCACTGCTCTGTTCCCAAAAGAGATCACAGTCGGATAGACAAGACACTGAAAACACGATGAAACGGTATGTGAAATCCTGGACTAGATCCACGTGCACGACGGTGAATAACTGAACGACTAGATTAGTTTGTTTCTACTCTATTCGATTGGGACTGTAAAAGTCAATTTCTTCATCTCACTTTTTATCACCTCGTATCATCTGAAGTCTTGTGCAACTGATCCGGGAAACTGGGATGGTAAAATCTTGATAAATTTGTGTTATTCGCCGACGGCGCGAGGAGCCGGAGCGACGCTGCTTATGGAAGATCTTCTTGCATCTTCATATCAAAAAGTCCCGATTGTGAGGCGAATTCGAGCCGGTGACCATCCGGTAATCCAGCAAATGCTCTAAAGTGCTCTAAAATCTATTCGGTTTTCAGCCCAATTAAAATCACCCGAAGTAAAGAACTACGGAATCACTGGAACTACAAGTAGCATTATTACGCATACTGATCTGAACTGCAGCTACATAACTGAATGTGATCCACTCGTTGGCAAGCCTTTCTACGATATTTCAGAGAAAATTCGTGAATCCCGATTTGACTAAAGTACCGTGGTCCTGGCTGAGCATCCCAGTTAGTAATAAACACTGGTCCGGCAAAGTCTTGTACAATATTTGGGTAAAAATCACCTAATTTTCGGGAAGAAACTTTAGTTGCTCGTGTGACTCTCAAAGAGTATGAGGAAGTAACGGTATATTTTCTTAGTCAGAAGACCCCTGCGACCCATCAGTAGCATGGAAACCGAACTTGAACTTCAAGTACTATTAGTACTACTATCCTTACCAGAACTAATAACGCAATAAGTGATAACTTTCATAAAATAGTTAGTATTACTTTTATTGATTGTACTCATTACAAAAAGCTGATAAAATAATTTGAAGAATAATGTGGTCAATCTAGGCCTTTTCATAAACCCAGTCATGCAACCCCTGGCTCGTATTTTATTATTACACATGAAGTGGTTTGCGGCATAAGCGGTAAACTCCATGGTTCAAGGACGAACCGTGATCAGCTATGATTACTGTCTGATCAGCCCTCATATAGGGAAGGATACAATTAAAAAATGAATTAAATAGACTAAATATTGGTCGTACAGCAAATACTCAGCAGCTCTTGAGGGGAGAATTGATAGACGATCATACTCCTAAACTGTTGTAATTCCCGAAAGTAGTCGTTTTTGATAGAAGCTTTATTACTGACTCATATCCACCACTCATCCCAAACTTCAGTGATGATGTCCACGAGGACCCTGCTATGGACGGAATCTCCTTGTTGGGCGTATACAAGGGGCTCACTCATCTTCAAGCACACAAAAGAAGCCATCCAAACTGCCTACAACCAGTCCTGTCAAAGGAATGCGCGAGGAAGTTGTTTCCCACAAGTTTTGATCTCTCTGGCCTTTGCTTAGATCGTAATCTAATTCCCGATTATCAAAAAGTGGCTTTTATCACCTCAGTGCCCCGAGTAGGTACGTCAAAACTATGTTCGATAGGTTTTACGTTGGTTGATATTAAAACTTGAAAAAAATCATCCTAAAGGAACGGTCTCCCCGGATTATTGTGTCAAACTCCAGGAAATTCGCAAACTGGCTAGCACGGTCAATCCTCGACACCATGGCTTCTCCCATCCACTCGGTCTTTATCATCTATTGTTCTCAAAATACAAGTAGTAGTATCGAATCCAGGAAAAATCATCCACGGAGAGCTAGTACAAAGAGTACCCGCTGTCAAGTACTTTGGTGTAGCCATCAGCCGTAGCCTTACCTAGACAGGTCATGTCGTGGCGGCTTTTCCGAAAGTTCGACGACTCACCTTTTATTTAACACCATTAAATTCATCCTTTACCCCGCTTCACTTAATGAGACTCTCTGTGTTTTCATGCGTCGTTCATCACTGACTCTATTCTTCCGCAATCACATTTCCCAGACTGATGGTGAAAGATCTAAAAATGATCTTCAGGCCACTTGAACATTTGTCTCGAAATAGTGGCATCAATTAAAATCTGCCCATCCACTTTATCGAAACCCAACGAGTCTTGTCTGACTTTCTCTCGTAAGATCTTGGATGAGGGCACACACCCACTCCATCCCGATCTGGGCACTTACATATCCGCATCAGCCACTCCATCTCATTTCAAAAGTCTGTTCCGTCGTATTAAAGTCTATAAATCCCCTGTAGTTCGCCACATTGCTCGTTACCTCACCAACTCACGTTCTATCACCACCGATTTCCTGAACTCGAGCAGTTCCTGATTTTTATTAATGATTCCCGCAGTGTAGTGGTTACGTAGCAGCTGAATATCTACCCTCGAGTGCACAAAACCTATGCTTGACTCGAATAACGTGTGCGAGAAATGAATGATATGAGGTGCTTCAAGACAGCTGTATGGTCTGTATATCTACCAGAGGAATCTCCCGCTTTGGTAAATAACACGATTTGTGCGGTACGTTGAACTCATGATTGATCAATGCGGATACGGTCCGACGACGTTGAAAATCGATATGGCTTTAAAATTTCACACAAAAGCCCAAAGTGATTGGGCTCTATGAGATGGAATAAATGAGGTACTCTGAAAATTATCATTCGTGTAAGCTGTCAGATAGAATATAATTCAACCTGTTTATTGATTTCATCTAGATCGCTCAATCATTCACCCAAATAATCTGAAAATGGTAGTGCTATTTTTGGTCTGATTTATGCCTCCTTTTCATTTTATCCAGATAATATACTGTAACTGTAACAATATTTTATAAAATACTTAGCAAATATTAATTTCGAAAAAAAGATTTAAAGAAATGTGACCATAGTAACCAGAGATACGATACAGTCGGAAAACTTTCCATAGCAGAATTGTCCTTACGACAGAGAAGCAACTATGGTCAATGATATATTGGTGCCCTGGAGCAAATTTAAAAGGTAGTCATATGTAAAACATGATAACCAAGGCTAATTTTCTGAACAAATGTTAAACCAAATGCTGTTATTGGTATACTGCTGGATAGAGTTCATTTAAAATAACTAAATGATGCAAGCAATAAAAGAGATGGTAATCTATATCTCAGTAATAGTGTTTTTCTTTCGAGTAGGTTTGGAACTCACTTCTGTGTCAACCGACCAGACCAGTTCCTCTTCAAACACTTTCTCATGCTCACGAGACATTTGAACTTCACGACGAAATCCTCCATTGGCCTGTATTACAGGACCGGGCGGGCCGATTTGTAAAGTGAGGGAGCCTTCTTTACAAACCGATTTTTGCATACTGATCCGACATGTGGCACTCGTACGACGTTCCGTGCGCAGATGATTTGTCTGAGTTTCGCTAGTCCTGTTTGTGAACACCGAGGAGAAAAGGACGTGGCTGTTCATTTTCTGTTTCATTCCCCCAAACGACCGACTGGGACTGTGTCCGGACTCGGGCAAACCGTTTGCCAAACCCGCGGCAGATCCGGCCGTGCTCGGTAGATGAGTTGTTTCCTTGTTGATAATTTGTAGACGACTAAAGTCCATATCGGTGGATTTTAAATTGTCCACATTACACCGGGATTTCACTTCCTTCGGTATCGGAAAGTCTTTGACATAATTCAGAATCAAATCACAAATATCCACTGAGGATCTGAGTGCATCCTTTTTATTCATGGTAAACAGTTTAATATGGATAAATATAGGTGACCCGAAGAGTCTTGCCAATTGCTCAGTTGCGTCTGTTCAATTCACGCCAGGTCACGTTACGTCACGCTGTTGTACTATTCAGGATTTTAGAACATGAATAAATGTGTCCATGTGTGCAACTGTCCTATTCACACTGTGATTGGTTCACACGTTCGATCCAATCAGAGTTTAGTCCGTATTCGCATGCTGATGTGGTCACACACCACATAGATTGCCTGATATGGATTGCGCTGATCCAAATCTTTACCCATTGAAAAGACGACTCAATTACAAAATACCAAAAATGGCCAATGTGTAATCTCACAAGTTGGGTCATCAGTGCTTACCTCAAGCAGCAGTTTAATTTCTACTTTTAAAAAGATAAGACAACAGTTTGGGAGTAAGTGTGAATAACGAAAGTGGATTTTCCTTCATCTCTGTATCATCCTGGCTCCTTGTACCATCGAAGAGATTCTCCGAAAGCACATAAAGTAGATGTCGAAAAGGCGGCAACAATATTTGGAATAATTCAGCCTTCGCAAGGGCTTTGTGGACTATGGTCTCTAACCAGATTTTTCGCACATTACAGAGATCCTGATCTGGTCATTGTAACGAGCTCAGGCGGAGGAGGCCATCCCTATCTTTATCGATGGGAAGGTTCGTGCTCGACTCTACACACCAGGTTTAGTTTCTAGGCCTATGCCAATCGTAAGCGGTGAAACCCACGGAAGAACAATGCATCCAATTTCCTACAGTCATGAGCTAATTGTCATAATTTGGCTAGGACAATTCTTACATTTTTGAAGCTTCTGTTCAAAAGGAGTCTGATAAGAACCCTGTTCTACCGACTGCGACAGTTGAGTTGCCTCGATGTTGAGTCCACCGAAACCGAAGGGCTAACGAGTACACTGACGGAAAATGAATATCCACTGGCATTTATCCGAAAGTACAATTTACCTCTAAATCCCAAACCAAGTTGTCCGTTAGCAAGAAAGGGAGACGTATTCATCCATCTACCTTTCAAAGGTGATAATGTATTGACTAGAATAAGTCGCCGACTCACAACCTTAGTCGAAAACACTTTGTACGCAGCCAAAATGAAGATAGTGCATGAAGCTGGTCGTTATCTCAGCCGTACTAACTTAGACAAAGTGGACGTTCATACCACCCCAACTGTATTTACCATTTTAATGTACCTTTGGTACAAGGTACGTGGGAAGGACAGAAAGCCGCCCCTCTCACAGAATGTATGAGCATATTCTGAACAACTTGAGTCTTCATGGTGGGAAATCACCCCCCAGTGCAGCGGTGTGTCATTTATTGGATCCTGGTCACTGTGTTGACCTGATTAGTACTTTCAGGATCATCACGAGATCAAGGAATAAGAACTTGCTAAAGTTCACGGTGGCACTATAATTCAGAGGGCAAAACCTGAACTGCATATCCAAAATACTTTGGTTCCGCAACTTGTGTTGCCGTGGTAGTAACCTGTGACCTCATCCTGACTCGTCTCCCACCCTATATATATATATATATATATATATATATATATATATATATATATATATATATATATATATATATATATATATATATATATATATATATATATATATATATATATATATATATATATATATATATATATATATATATATATATATATATATATATATATATATATATATAAAATGAGCATTCGCAGCTGATTGAAAGCACGCGAAATCGATGGCTTATATCAGTTCTGCCCACATTTTTCTTCCTACTCTAATGAAATTTGTGACTGTTTTGACATCAAAGACCTACCTCTCAAAACAGGTGTGAATAATACACAATTGTAAGGGCTAGATTGGAGGCCGCCATCTTGTTGCTCGCTTATTGTAAGTGGCGATGTCTGTTGATACACTAACTGACTCTCGGCTCATGAAGTTTCTCCTCTTGTGCTTTTGCAGATCACACACGTGTTGACTTCATCGGAAGAACATTGCACTTACAAGTAACACAATAGTTAGGCAGGATGAATACAACTCGATTGATCAGCATTCCGTTGTCACCTTCTTCAACACGAGGAGCTAAAGGAAGTTCCAGATTGTGTCACACTGTTTGAGCTCCTTTATTTGCCGTGGGATGTCTCGTTTATCTTAATTTTTGTGGCCAGACGAAAACCAACATAGGGTTAATTAATAAAAATAGATCACCTCTATCCCCTGCTGACGTTACACGATGGTAAATTTGTGTTATTTCGGAACGCAAAATCCACTTTGTGACCCCAGAATTTTCAGCTGACAGCTTTGTTCCTATAGGCCAAGGTGTGGCAGCTAGTTCCGCATAATTAGACTGTTCAACATGGAACTGTTTTCTATATCTACACGTATTCGTTGTATTTATCTGCCACATTCGATTGTTTCGTCCACCACAAAATGGTGGTATAGTTACTTTCAGTTGGTGGTAGGTAGTTGTCAGCTGTCGTCTGGCTCTTCTCCTCCTA